TCATTGCCATGCGTTGTGATACCTTGTGTTGCAATTAAATATACACCTGTATCATTTTATCACAACACAAACACCAAAACAATTTTTTACATAAGTCGATTATTTACAGTTTTGCATACCTTCCTTTTTTTACCTTTTCGCAAAAAGGCGCAATTACAAATTTGCTAATATATGTTATTTATTAACTCAATACAGTTTTATCTTTTAGATTTAGTCAGAAATTTTTTTTTTTGTGCATGGATACTGATTTTGGTGTGTTTTAACAATTGAATGGTGTATTTTTATCGGTTTAATATTAATTTGAGAAACATATGTGCAATTATCACACGGCCTACAAATTTAGTATCACCATCTTTTTATTCTACCGGGCCTGCGCTTTCAGGAAATATATGGTTTGGGGGGTCTTTTACAAACGCTAGCAACCCAGCAGTTGAAAATCAAATCAATAGGAAAAAATTGCAAAAAATGCAAAAATGGCTTGGCCAGCTGATTTGAAAAATGTTCCGGAGGGCTTGGCAGCGAAAGGGTTAATCACCTCCTTAGTGTCACTTTTAACCTGACCCATACATTATTACCTAGTGAACTTTGAAAACTACTACACCCTATCTCCTCCGTATTTGCCAATTTTCTCTCACCAGTACACCCTCCTCTTTGTTTAAAATTCCCTCCAATGTTCTCACTATTCTTTCCCCTACCACAGCTGTATCCTCCCCATTGAATAAAATCTAGCATTGGACCTCTTGCCAATGTAAAAGTCGGTCCAGAACTCCAAAAATCTGAACCTATTCTAATGCTAAGCGCTTGCTGTCTTTCAGGAATTGTGTGTCACTGGCACTATTTCCAAAAAAATACTAGATTAGAGGTCCTACAGGAGTTTGGCTTCTAACTCCTTAAAATGAAACCCTGTCAATTTCTTTTTCCTGTCTGTCTGCATCCCTGCTAGGTAGATAAACCCCTCTATTTGTGCTGGGGACCATTGTCAATGAGACAACAAGTGAGGGGAAATCTACAATTTTATCAGAGCAACAAGTGAAGATAAATCATCCAATGGGGACAAAATTTCCGGAGACAACTGTCTAGAGGGGGAATCTCACATCCTGTTGCATCACCTAAAAAGGAAGTGAAGGGAAATCTTCCCTGTGGGACAAAGAAAATAGAAAATATAATAGGATTTTAAACCCTTCTCTACTAGATTCATAGCTAAAAAGATTTTAGTTACGCATATAGTTAAAAATAATTTTAAAAATGTCATTGGTTCCAATATGTACCACAACTGCTCCTCAAATCCCTACCCAACAGCCCCTTTGTCGCAGTATGTTATACATTCATGTCTAAAAGACTAGAAGCTACTTGGCATTCATGATCTTGGTGTCAGATTACACCGTACGTCCATCTGATAATACAGTCCCCTAACACCACACCTGGGTTTGGTGTTCTATTTCTATATAAACTGCATAACTCATTCCAATAATTGCTAGGGGACACACACTGATCTATCACTGATACCCTTGAACTTCAATCTCTAAAATAGATCAAATAGGATAATTTGTCAGGATGGGCCAATTAGGAACTAGCATCCATGACCCTTTTTCACTTCTTCAAAAGTTACTCAGCCACCGACTTCTGAATTCTCAACCCACCTCCATCACTGTTGGTTCTAATGCAGGTTTTCATCATCACCACTTATTGCACGCTACAGACTGATGAGACTGAGCATACTCAACACTCAGAAAAAGTCCTAAGTGTTTTAAATCAAGAAGAGAGTTTGA